CTACTTAAAAAAAAAAAAAAAAAAAAAAAAAAAAGAATCCTATATGTAATTGTATTTGAATTCAACCTTGCTCATCCTTCACAAAAGTTATCATGCTTCATGAAAAAATGCTGGCCGCCTCATTGGTGAAACTTCTAGCAGTTCTTCCTGAGGTGGCATCAGTCATGTACCACTTTGAAGATTCATCATAAATCGACTAGTATTATGTTAGTTGTCAACCTACCGCAATCCTCCTCCTTTATCTGGGCTTGGAACCGATAATGCGAGCAAGCTCACGCAGGCGGAGTTTTTAACCTGCTTTTAGTCTGAAAAATAATTATAGTAAATCTCTCAATGCATTCTCAGTTTGAAGTCTTGTTGTTGAAGGTGGGTTAAAAGACCATGTAATTACACGTTTGAAGGTGCCTGCAGGTTCAGGGAGCATATTTGAGACATTGCGACTGGGCAAACCATTGATAGTTGTAGTCAATGAGGACCTGATGGACAACCATCAAAGTGAACTAGCAGAGGAACTGGCCGAGAGAAAGCATTTGTTCTGTGCTCGTCCCCAAACTCTATACCAGAGTATCGTGGACATGGATACAGGATCTCTCATCGCATACCAACCAGGTGATGCAGAACCAGTTGCTAAACATATCAACAGATATCTTGGTTTCCCTGATGATTAATGGACCTCTGTTAAATGACAAATGTAAAATTGTCTTATACTTGTAATGAACTGAATTGAAGTGTAATTTTGTGTGATTCATGGCCTAATTTTTTCCATTCAAATGATCTGTTAATTCTGTTTCTGATAACGTTTTGTGTGACTGCAAAAAGGTATCATAAGAGAATTTCAAAATGAGGTTATGTCCTCGAGGCCATCAAGACGAGAGATATTAGATGAGCGACAGGCCGATGATGCTGTGCAAGGAGTTAAAAGTAATAGGGTGTGTTTGGTACGAAGGAAATGTTTTCCTAAAAAATATTTTTCTGTTTATCACTTATTTTCCCTTGTTTGGTTGGTGAGTGAAAAACTTTTTCTGGAAAATATTTTCTAGTGTTTGGTTAGAGAGTATAAAATATTTTTAGGAAAATAATTTTTTATGTTATTCTCAACAACCCACCTTTCCCAAAATCCCCATGTTTCCTGTACTCTTCCTTCCCCACTCCTTCCCACGGACTCTATTTTCTTCAAGAATTTAATTATTCTTTTCAAAATTCACACAAACCCAAAGAAACTAATGTGCTTGTTGTTCTACATCATGAAAAAAAAGTACTCGTTTTGTTGAAATGAAAGAATCTACTTTTTTCACATCATGAAAAAAATTACTTGTTTTGTTGAAATGAAGTAGGCGTTTGGACATGATTTCTAATTTTTTTTTTTCAAATTTGGAATTTCATTAAAATTTGAATTGAAGATGAAGTTGTGTTTGGCTATAATTTTTGCAATATAATTGGATGTCTTTTTTTTCAAAATCATGAAACATGATTAAACCCCACAACTTGTAAAAATATCAAAACCACCCCAGTTTGATTATCCTACTTGAAATAAACAATCAAAATGCTATTGTTTAACTGTTATCATATTCTGCTTTACTGCAATACACAAAAGATGCAAAATCAACTAGGACTGATGTTCCACCATCAGTTGCCAAAGATGTATCTGCCAAAAATGAAAAACTAATGGGGTCATTTTATAAGTTTTAAAAATATAGGGTAAATTAGTAAAACTAAAAACTAGCAAATTCTTATTTTCAATTGAAAAAGTGGTGAGAACCAATTTTTCAAATTTGAAAATGAATTTTCAAGTGAAAAAGGAAAAATTGGTAAGAATGGGATAACCAAACATTATTTTCAAAATTTTTTTTTGAAAAAAAGGCAAAATTTTGTATGTCCAAACGGGCTCGAAATAAAATAGTTTTACTACGTCATGAAAAGAATCTACTCATTTTGTTGAAATAAAAAAAGTATTCTATCTACAACATGAAAATAAAATACTCTTAATAATAGTTTTATTTAGGGTGGGTGGTGGGCGAGGTTGGGGTGGGTGGATTATGGTTGGGGGTAGGGGGTTGGGGTGGGTGAGGGTGGGTTGGTGGGCATGGGGAATATGATGGAGAAGGTTGAAAAGGAGTTTGGAAAATGTTTTCCCTCCTTTTGATAGGGAAAACATTTTCCTTCAATTGAAGGAAAATGAGTTGATGAGGAAAATGTTTTTCAAAACATAAGCCAACCAACATGGGAAAATTGAAAAATATTTTTTCGGAAAATATTTTCCTTTGGTACCAAACACACCCTTGTACGATGGTTGTCACAACCACTTGAAACCTCTTTGCTCTGTTTTTCTCTTTGTCGAAATATTAGTGAAGAAATTGACTCTTTTACAGTACACAAATCTCTGAACACGGTTCAAAAACCTTGAACCCTTAGAGCTGGCATTTCGAAACCAATTGATGTGTCAAGAAGTGTATTTTAACCCTTTGTCATACTATAAACAATTACATGTAATTTGCTTTTAAAACCCTAATAATGTAAAACAAATATACTCAAAATTTAAAGCATTTCTGCAACAATTTCCAAATTTTGATCGGGTAAGATGAAGAAGAATAATTATCTCTATGACTAAATCTTATGCACCACCTATTTGCTATTTTTTGGTACCATTTCTAACATTGTGTACGTTAAGTAAGTGGGCGTTTGGATATAAAAATTGCAAAATTCCCCCCAAAAAAAAAAAATTCAAGTGAAAATGGTATTTGAAAATTAGAGTTGTGTTTAGACGTGAATATAATTGGTTGTTTTTGAATTGAGTGATCTCAGTGAAAATTTTGAAAGACAGCCTTTTGGAGTTTTTCAAATTTTCGAAAAATTCCAAAATTCATCTTCAAGTGAAAATTGAAAATTTTATGGCCAAACACTGATTTCGAAAAAAAGTGAAAAAATTCTTATCTCCTGACGGGCTCTAAGTGGGCGTTTGGACATAAGAATTGTAAAATTCCAAAATAGGGGAAAAAAATTTCAAGTGAAAATGATATTTGAAATTTAGAGTTGTGTTTGGACATGAATAAAATTTTGGGTTGTTTTTGAAGTTTTGTGAGTGAAAAATTTGAAACCAGCCTTTTGGAGTTTTTCAAATTTTAAAAATTTTCCAAAATGTATAAGTGAAAATTGAAAATTTTATGACCAAACACTGATTTCGAAAAAAAGTAAAAATTTATCGAAAAAAAATGAAAAATATTCTTATGTCCTAACGGGATCTAAGTGGGCGTTTGGACATAAGAATTGTAAAATTCCAAAAAAGAGTGAAAAAAAATTCAAGTGAAAATAGTATTTGAAAATTAGAGTTGTGTTTGGACATGTATATAATTTTGGGTTGTTTTTGAATTTCTGTGAGTGATCTGAGTGAAAATTTTGAAAGACAGCTTTTTGGAGTTTTTCAATTCGAAAAATTCCAAAGTTCATCTTCAAGTGAAAATTGAAAATTTTATGGCCAAACACTAATTTCATAAATAGTGAAAAAATTTCGGAAAAAAGTGAAAAAATTCTTATGTCCAAACGGGCTCCAAGAATGCTACGTTCATTTCTTAAAAACCTACAGCCAAGTAGAATTATTAAGTTAGGCTTACTAAGTAGGCGTTTGGACAATAACTAGTTTTCAATCTCAAGTCTGTTGACGTCAGCAATATGAATTCTCATAATTAGACCAGTTTTATGAGAAAATTTTATTTTGCGTCTCATACAACTGACACTAGTTGTATGAGACATCTTTTTTATCTTACAATTTTGTGGACCCAGATTTTTGTAGACATGTAAGATTAGGGTCCACAAATTTGTGAGACAAAAAAGAGCCTCACACAACTAATGTCAGTTGTGTGAGGCACACAATAAAACTTTCTCAGTTTTATGCTAGTTGGCAACATAATGTAATCCTCCTTTCTTTATTTGGGTCTAGGATCGGCTTTGCTTTATGTAAATCACATGCGTAAAGTTAGTTTCATACTCTCATTGGTTGGCAGTAGAAAATAGAGGCAGAGCTAGAGTATTCAATACGGTTCGGACGAATCCACTAGCTTTTGCTTAGACCCTACACTTATATTAGAGAATCCATTAAATGCGGTGTTCTATTAGCTAGTGAAAGTGATACAAACAATAATTAGTAAGAATCAAAAGTTTTGGAAAGTGTGAAAACATTAAGTAGAACGATATCTCCAACTTAAGTGAAAATAGCACGGGCAAGCTAGTTTTCGGACTAGTAATTAAAAAATATCTAGCGTATGCAAAGTCATTGAAAAGTAGCCACTATTTTTGCTACAACACGAAAAGTTCCAGCATAATATACTGGAGATTGATGCACCTGTGAATGAACTTCCAGCATATTATGCTAGAACTCCAGCACACGGAAAGTTTCAGCATAATATACTGGAGATTGGAGCACCTGCGTATGAACTTCCAGCATATTATGCTGGACTAGTATATTAAACTACTGAATTCTTTGTGAGCAGTAGTTTTAAATATACCAGAACATTGTAAACAAGTTTGTTGCAGTCAATCATTCTCATAATGCAGGCAAAACAATTTAATGGAAGAATGATGCATTAAAACTAAAGAGACAATGAAATCCTCCTCTTGGACATACTAGCTTTTAGATGCTTGATCCAATAACTAACATGACAATAAGCAAGCAATACACAAAGCAAAGCAACTCCTGTCGTCTCTGTATCTATGTATAGCTTTGGCGAAGAACAGAAATAATTAAAAGAAGACATAAATGGTTGAGCTGCTATTGATATCCCTTGATCTGGTGAACGCAAGGTAATGAAGGCAGTGGCGAAGCCAGGAATTTACTCTAAAATCTAATATTTTACCTATATACGCAGCGTAATTCTTCCGACGAAGGGTGGTCAGTTGACCCTTCAAAACATGTAGCTTCGCCCCTGAATGAAGGGTGTTACAACAGGTACATCTACAACAGAGAAATTAGAGGAAAAAATATGAGGGATTAGAGCAAATTAATAGAGAAAAACTCTAAAGATACCAGGCCAGAACGTTATAATGAATGAATGAATGAATGATTTTGTTGCGTATCATAATTATGAAATGACTTTACCATTATTTATTGGTCAACATGTATCCAAGACATGAACTTGGAGACTGCAACATCCTGTCGTCTCTTCTACTTCTTTTTTACTCCAGAGCTGAATCCACAATTGTCTGTGTGCACCAGATCAACTTAATCATCTTCGGTGTTGGGATATCCACAAAGCTAGAAGGGATCTCTTCCAAACGCCCACAATCATTTATAACTAGCTTCTCAAGCACGGGAAAGGATGCCTCTGAGGTGCGCCATTCTGCCAATTGAACGTTCAGTAATTTCAAGCATTTGAGTGCTTGGAACTCGTAATTACTAACATCCCAACAAATGGGATAGTCAAAATGCTCAGACAAGGACATCTTGAATTCGGTATAGAAGAATATAAAATTTAATTTGAGGTTTTCAAGGTTTCGCAGTCTTGCAATGTTTGAAACAACTTCGTCTGTTAGCAGAATGCTATCGAGGGACAACTCCTTTAGATATGAAGGGAGGACAATGGAATCCAAGGATGCAATGGTCTCTGTGTAACGCAAATGAAGAGATTGAAGTGGGAGTTCTTCAATATACAACACATCATCTGGTGTGGGGGAAAAAGAACAATCTTCGTCATGTATATCATCTAAGCGGATCTTCACTTTTTCAATATTTGGAAATTTCTCCCAGAACTTCTTTGTCACGATTGCATTAAATGATATATGGAACATCTCAAAAGTCTTCAAGTTCGGCAAAGTTTCTGAAGACTCTTCGAAAAATGCTCGATCATTGACATTTTCATTCCAAGGTACGACTAAAACGATATTCAAATGCCTTAGTTGCTGCAATTTCCAAATAGCTGGTGATGGATAGACATACAATTCATCATCAACATCCATCCACAAAGTTTGCAGATCGAGTAGGTGAGATACCCACTGGAAATCAAATTCACCAGTACAAATTGCAAGATACCTCAAGTGAGGTACTGCTTGCATTGCCATTGCCCATAAACTACTTTTCATGCGGAGATTCAACAAATGCAACACTCGAATAAATCTAAAGTTATCAAGTAAAGGGAAAAGACTTATGTGGTCCCATGCATAGTATTTTGGATGAGCAATGAATTCAAGGGTCCTATGAAATTGAGCAAAAGACTCCCCTTCCTTCAAGTTCGCCAGCACTGGAACCTTATCCAATGAATATTCGTACTGCACCAATTGTTCGACAAGATTGTGATGAACATACATGCATAACCGATGTTCCTTTGCACCTACAGGTTGGTAATGGTATGGATTGTACGGGACTATGTGCTGCACAAACTTTTCTTCTGTAAGTTTTTTCAAGCAAAACTCACGCACTAGATCATGAATAATGACGTACTTTATCTCACCATTAAATCTCTTTTTAGAAACTAACACTAGGCTTCTGTTCGCTAGATCATTCAAGCAAATTTTACATGCTTCCTCCATGTTCTCTGTGTCCATGTCCTGCACAAAATTTTCGGCTATCCACAACTTCAGCAAATCGGACACTAAATATTTGTAGTCTTCTGGAAACAATCCCATGTAAAGAAGGCAAGGCTTTAAATGGTCTTCCAAATGGTCATAACTTGATTCTATAATCTTCATGCCTTGCTCTTCCAAAACATGGGAACTTAGATCGTTTGCGGCCTCAAGCCACAAAGAGGCTTGCCTTCTCTTTGCAATAATACCAGCAATCAAGACAATCACAAGTGGTAATCCTTTACAGCTTTTGGCAACTTGTAATCCTACTTCGAGTAGCTCTGGGGGACAGATTTCTCCTTGAAATACTTTCTTCTGAAGTAATTCCCAGCTCTCATCCACTGTGAGAAATCGAAGTAAATATGGATTACTGTGATGCTTAAGCTGCGTAGCCACTTCTTTATCACGAGTTGTTAGAACTATTCTGCTTCCATTTTCACAATGTGGGAAAGATAATCGCAACTCTTCCCACGCCTTAACTTCCCATGTATCATCTAATACAATGAGGTACCTCTTGCGCATTAGACTCTTGCGTAACTTGTCAGGCATATCTTCATATTTGATATCATCTAAATTGCCTATAACTTGTTTAAGAATCTCAGGGAAAATCTGCCTCAAACTATATTCTTTTGAAATAGAGCACCATGCTCGGACGTCAAAGTGTTTATTCTCAATAAAATGATTGAACACCTTCCTAGCCAAAGTTGTTTTGCCCAGTCCAGGCATTCCAACAATCGAGACAATATCTAGTTCCTTCGTTCCTCGAGTTAATTGTTGATTTATACGTTTTGCCCAGTCCAGGCATTCCAACAACTGCTTCCTCATCAATTGGTGGATGACTACGTTGGGTGGAAGCCATCGCACGAGTAGGATTTCTTTCATCAGTCAGTACATTCTCCATGTTAATTAGCTTGGTTACTGCAGTTGAAAGTAAATATATTTATGTTAGAATTGACTACTCATCTTAGAAGTAGAGATATTGGCAAGAAAGTCAACAACAACAATAACAACAACGACCCAGTAAAATCCCACAAAGTGGGGTCTAGGGAGGGTAGTGTGTACGCAGACCTTACCCCTACCCCGATGGGGGAGAGAGGTTGTTTCCGATAGACCCTCAGCTCAGGAAGACGGAAATAAAACAAGAAGAGACAATTTATCAGTATCGTCAACAGAAACCATAGAGATAGTAACAACATCATAAAAACCATAAAATAGATGACATGCAATAACAATAACCAGCACTTAAGGCCTAGGAGCTATGAACAACAGAAAGGATAGTGTGGACTCTACATAAACCACAAGCCGTCTAAGATCAACCTTATCAAACCCGCCTCACCCCCTGTATGAAGTAGAAAAAGCTCAACTACCCCTTAGCCTACAACCCTAATGCAGTAATGCTCGACCTCATACCTTCCTATCAAGGGCCACGTCCTCGGAAATCTGCAATCGTGCCATATCCTGCCTGATCACCTCTCCCCAATACTAAAAGTAGAACCCAACCCTCGACAACCCAACCAGTTCCCGGCCCTTGTTCAGGCGGATCCCCTACCCTCAGTGGCACAAGTATTAAATACATATTTTTATATGTATAAAACTATTTTGATATGTATTTAAGTTATACGCATTGATAGTATATAGACCTTTTACACTATCAGACTACTTTATAGCACATAAGTTACTATACTGTTTTTATCAGGTCAACAATTAATGCTAATCAAATAGATATACCTACAATTTAGCTCAAGACTTGACCTGATTGTGTCAATCATTTTTTACACCACAGGTGAATAGTATAACTTTAAACTTGATAGGATATGTGACAAATCAAGTTAAACTTTAGACTGTGTTTGAATAAATTAAGAATGGATTTAACTTAGATAGACCTAGAGGTTTTTGGAAAGAAAATGAAAATATTAAGCAGAACATAAACTACATCTTCTGAAACAAGGCATCATAAGATCAACAACACAAAGTGCAGCCCGGTGCACTAAGCTCCCGCTGTGCGTGGGGTCTGGAAAAGGGCCGGACAACAAGAATCTATTGTACGTAAACTTGCTCTGCATTTCTGCAAGAACCTGTTTCCACGGCTTGAACGGGTGACCTCCTGCTCACGTAGCTGCAACTTTATGCGTTGCCCTGGCTCCACTTTAAAAAGATCAACAACACAAAAAAAAAAAAAAAAAAAAAAAAAAGTTATAGAAGCGGAAGAAATCTGACCTTCTGCAAATAATTGTTCTGGAAGAGATAGAAACAGAAATGGAGGAGCTATGGGAATATGAAAAGGGTTGGTGTAATTGTTTCTTGAAGAGTGAAGAGTGCTTTAATAAATAGTTGTAGTGGGAGAACTTGTACCAACAAAATAAGAAAATAGAGTGTGTGTTGATTAAAAAAAAATGATCCTTTTTAATTTGTTATAATAAAATTTGAATTCTCGATCCAATAAAAAGATGCTCCAGTGAGGGGTTGGTGGAATCACTAATCAAATCTCATAGCTCATTTGATGCAAAAGAGAGACTTAAACTTCCTATGGAAAGGATCTAAAGATTTTTCATGACAATAAACAGTTACTCATGCGTTTATATCAACCCAATAAATTAAGATACATGTCTTCACATACAGTTTAATCGCTAAACCATAGTTAACGAATATGCATAATGCTTTTTTTTTTTTTTTTTTTTTTTTTTTAAATTTAATGTCCACATCACACATATTGTTATTATTATTATTACGGAAAAGGTCCAAATATGCCCTTCTACTATACGAAATTGAACACATTTGACCTTCGTTAATTCTTTAGCCCATATATGCCCTTACCGTCACATAGTTGGTTCATATATGCCCTTTTTGAAACGGAATCCAGCCAAACTAATTAGCTCTTTCGTTAATTGTACTAAAATGTATTACAAACACAATTTCCCTTTTATTAGTACTTTTTTTCTTTACATTTCTCTGTTCTTTCTTCTTTTTTCTTTTCTTCTCTTTTTTTCCTTTTTCTTTCTCCCATATCCGAGTTCCTCCATTGTTGATGCCTTTTCAATTTTTGTCACCAATAACAGTTACTCACGCGTTTATATCAACCCAATATATTAAGATACATGTCAATTACGTATTTTTCCCCCCTAATTTACTGTAGATTTCATCTTCTATTGGCCTCATTTGGCCATAGTGCAGCATATCGTGTATGCGGTTTATTATAAGATGACAGCTTCAATGAGGGGAATGGATACCCTCTAAACTGGAGTTTAGAAATAGTAACTCTAATAATAGTAGTAGTAGTAGATGTATATCAATGAGTTTCTTGCTTAAACAGTTTGATTAAAATTATTGACATTGAACAAGATATTATATCAAATTAATGTAAAGATCCTCTGTCACTTCATTGGTTGGACAGAGGCGTCAAATGTATTGAATCCTTTATTGCTAGATATATTTCATTCATATATAGTACATATAATATTGCAGTCTCATTTATGCTTGCTGCATTTTGTTTTCCATTATCATGAATATGGACTTCTCAAATTCAAGTTCCTTAAAGTAAAACAATGTTATCAAAGGTGCGCTTAAAGCGCGCTTAAGCCCTGAAGCGAGGCTCAAAACATGTTGAGCGCTTCGCCTCACTTAGCGAGCGCTTTAGTGTTGTCATCAAGGCTCTAAGGCATATTTTTCCTTGCCAATGAGTGTAATCCTAAAGAGGCAATACTAAACAATTGATATTTCACTTTATGGTAAATTTTGTTCAATTTCTTTGTCTGTATATTTGGTATTTATGCTTACTGATATTAGTCTTGGACTGTAAATACATATCTGTAGTTTTTCTCCATTTGCGCCTTTCTTCATTAAAGCCCACGCTTTATTTGCGCTTAAAGCCCCAACAAACCTTAGAGTTTTTTTTACGCTTTTCGCCTTTGATAACACTGAAGTAAACATATGGGAAAGAACAAAACAGAAAAAAGATAGATCACTAATGTTGTTTGCAATATGGAGACTCACAGCAAGGCCTACAGCTCCCAGTCAAAATGTAGCCACACTTGACCTTTTTTGCTGGTTTAGCACATTCAAAGTTGCACCAAGGCCAAGAATGAATCGTCCGATTAATCAACAATTGAACCCCTTATCGCTGTTTCTCCTTGAAATTCAACAACTGAGGACACAAACTTTGTCAAGAGGAGCGAGGGGGTTGATTTTCGCAACAACATGAACTACGGTGTACTCAGTAAAGGTAGAGGTCCCAACAAAATGGTACATGGGGTATATTCCGTTGACGGACAACCCTTGGTTGTCCATCACAAATCATTACTTCCCTGTCATAAGACGAACTTCCATTGCTTGCCATCTCCACTTCCCTCGGAGAACCTTGGTTGTCCATCACATTTGTCTTCTTGATTTCCTTTACTGATCAATGAAATATGAAAACTTCATGTTGAGCAGAAGTTTGGTTGTTTTCTGAATACCAAGTTGGATTTTCTTGAGGTGTGCTTAGTAGATATAACATTTATGAAGATAAAATGATAAATCTGGTTTTTTTTCCTTCTTTTGTGTGCGTATGTAGCAATTTTAAGTCCATAAAGTATCGTGTTGACAAGAGTGAGTTGCTCTAGTGGTGAGCACCCTCCACTTCCAACCAAGAGGTTGTGAGTTCGAGTCATCCCAAGAGCAAGGTGGGGAGTTCTTGGAGTGAGAGATGCCGAGGGTCTATTGGAAACAACCTCTCTACCCCAGGGTAGGGGTAAGGTTTGCGTACACACTACCCTCCCCAGGCCCCACTAGTGAGATTATACTGGATTGTTGTTGTTGTAAAATATCACGTTGGTGAGCTTACGAGGAGATGTACACGTACAAATGCACATTGATCGAAAGTGTTGCCTTGTTTAACAACCTTGAGTAACCAAATAAGACGCGAAGTTTGAGCAGTCAGCTGATGTTGGTTCAATCACTAGTACACGCTATAATGTAGGAGATTTTAAGCTCATGGAAGAGGAAATCAAGGCAGGAAAGGAGAAGGTCTTGGCTATAAACAAAGCCGTTGAAGACTAACAACAACAACAACAACAACAACCCAACCTTACCCCTACCCTGGGGTGGAGAGGCTGTTTCCAATATACCCTCGGCATCCCTCTCGTTGAAGACTAACTCCTACTAAAACCTGATGCTTATGCTTAAGATTGTTTTGTTCTAAGACAGGCTTATCCTGTAGTTATCAAATTTGTTCATCTTGTATGTTTCCCCGCAGTTCTCTCCTTTGTCAATTTGTATCTTGTCCGAAAAAGGTACTATAGCCAGCTGCTTATTTACTCAGAACAATAAGCAACTTTATGACTTGGTGAATTTCAACAGGTGGATCAGTGGTATCAAAAGCGAAAAGCGCAAAAAAGCTCTAAGGTTTGTTGGGGCTTTAGGCGCAAAGCGCAAATAAAATGCGAGCTTCAATGAAGAAAGGAGCAAATGGAGAAAAACTACAAATATGTATGTGTAATCCAAGAATAATATCAATAAGCATGAATACTAAATATATGGACAAAGCAATTAAAGAAAATTTATGATGAAGTGAAATATCAATTGTTTAGTGTCACTTCTTTAGGATTACGCTCATTGGCAAGGAAAAGTATGCTTTAGAGCCTTGACAACAACATCTGAACGGTAAGTGACGTGAAGAGCTCAACATGTTTTGAGCCTCGCTTCAGGGTTTAAGCGTGCTTTAAGCACGCCTTTGATAACACTGAGGTGGATGAATTTCAATTAAGCTAAAACTAAGTTCAATTGCAAATATGAAACCAACTTCAAAGAGAAAGGAGAATTTTTACAAGGACTTCCCACTTGCCAGCCAGCTGCTTCTGATATTGGCAACATTACAAGTGCCAATATCAAACTAATGAGCTGATGGACAAAGACAACTTGATGATTTTAAATTTGAAGTTTAATGTTGAGTTAAGCAGCCATGGCAGGGGTTATATATACAAGTGAATCAAGATTGGATCTAATCAAACAACCTAAGGAGCAGCCCGGTACACTAAGCTCCCGCTATGCGCGGGGTCCAGGAAACGGCCGGACCACAAGGTTCTATTGTACGCAGCCTTACCCTATAATTCTACAAGAGGCAGTTTTCACGGCTTGAACCGTGACCTTCTGGTCACATGACAGCAACTTTATCAGTTATGCCAAAGCTCCTCTTGATTTTTCAAGTTTGAAAAGTCACTAATTTCAGGTCAAGGCACCATCCTATAGATACTAATGTTGTTAATTCAAAATAAAATCTGTTTACAGAACAACTCACGAAGCCTAATTCTTCTTCCCAGTAGGCATGAGTTCTAGTTGATCAATCAAAACAAACTTAGCAATCTGTAGTGGTGTTACAATATAAGAGAATGTGGATTTTGCTAGCTGCATAATAAACCCTAGCATGAGCATGGCTACAACAATTAGCTAAGTACTCCATCTACTCTGCTTGTGTTTTTGCTGCAGTTCTCTAAGCAATTTTCAAATTCAAAAACATCCGCGTTAGCTTGTTCGAGCCGTGGAGACAGCCTCTTGCAGAAATGTAGGGTAAGGCTGCGTACAATAGAACCTTGTGGTCAGACCCTTCCACCAACACTGCGCATGGCGGGAGCTTTGCCCTTTTAGAGCTATCTGGTTTCTGGGGCTTTTGCTTGATAAGGATACACTGAGTGCTGCTCCCTTACCTTATTCTTTCTTACCATCCCAGTGGCTATGTTGCACGGACTCTCCAAAATGCTGCCGCACCCGTGTCGGATCCTCCAAAAATACACTACTTTTGGAGGATCCGACACGCACCCGGCGACATTTTCGGAGAGTCCTAGCAACATAGCCCAGTGGAACAAACTTACTGATCCAATTCCTGTTTCCTTCCAAATATGCTGTCTTTCCTGATGCTAAACAATGCCTATTTTTATGTAGTCTTCCTTTATCCGGGCTTTACTAGAAGCAATAAGTGATCAAATGTTCGAGATGTCATATTTAAAAAACGAGCCTTCATCTTCCAACGACATCACATCCGTGATGTCACTCACCTAGCTTTACAATTGCCTGTTTCAAGATATGCAACCTCTATATGATTGACACTTCCTTGGGGATTAAGTCTTCTATAACACATAGGTATATATGAAGAACAATACAAGATAATCAAATCACAGACAGACTTCCTCTAAATAATCATTCGGTATCAGGAATTAGGGCCTAAATCAAAGGCCTTGCGCCTATCAAAACCTTTGAATATACTGTCAAAGTCTTAGGCTCATTAGAAACATACAGAAAAAAGAGGGTATGCGTCTCAATCGATCAGTCAAAACAGACTTAGCAAT